TGAAAAATTTGAAAAAAGGGGTTCCCAAGGCTGGTCAAGCTATAAAGCCACCTCTCATTTCCAATCAGTACTACGTTTTTTTAAGGTGGAATTTTTTGTACATATACAATATTAAAATATACAACAGTTACCGCAATTGGAAGCAGTCGCCTCTTAAAAAAAAGATCCATCCTGCATTTTTTGCTTCAAAACATATAAAAAGTTATAATATCCAAAAAACTGGCCATTTCACCGAATTCTCAAGCATTTGTTTGACTTGAATGAAGGTCCTAGGCTTCGCCGAGCCTTCGCAATAAATATGGTGAAAAGCGCAATAGTCAACATGGCGTAGTCGCTGATATTGATAGACGAGCCCCAACCTCACCACAAGGTAGACGAGATTTCAAACCGCAGAAATTGAGTTCTAATGCCCGAAAAGCTCTGTCACGTGCTCAGCACGTCGCCTGTACAACGATAGACTTGTGCGCATAGCTTGAACATCATAGCGACTCTCAGGATTTTGGTTTTGCCTTAAAAGACTTTTTTTCAAAAATGAGTGGTGCATTTGCCTGATCGTGACACACTCTGACCTCTCGATCGAGCGGAAATCCGCTCAAGACTTTAAAATTCTAGTATTCCTGACAGTTTTGTAAGATTTGACTTGAAGAGGAGTTCAAAGCAGTAAAATTTGAAGTCATGTGAGATACACTGCGCACAACCGAACTGCAGACAAGGCGTTTCAAGTTACTGCTACAAATACGTCTTTGTAAAAAGCGTGACTGCTTATGCATGAGTACGTCACCATGCAAACAAGGTGTCAACTTCCAACCGAAAATTTTCGCGCGTCAGAAATCGAGATTTGCTTTTCAAAAATGCGTACCTAGGATTGAGCTTCGTTCTTTCATCAACACCAGCGACTACGCCATGTTGACTCCTGCGCTTTTCACCATACCCATTGCAAAGGCTCGGCGAAGCCTGGGACTTTCATTTGAGTCGAACAAACGCTTGGGAATTTGGTGAAAAGGCAGTTTTTTCAAACATTATAACTTTTTATACATTTTGAAGCAGAAAATGCAGGATGAATCTTCTTTTCAAAAAGGCAGCTGCTTCTAAGTGTGACAAATGTTTCATATTCTGATGCTGTATATGTACAAGAAATTTCAGGCTTAAAAAACGTAGTACTGATTGGAAATGAGAGGTGGCTTTATAGCTGTGACCAGCCTTGGGAACCCCTTTTTGTTTTTCAATTTTTCTCCGGCCAAAATCAAAGAAATCGGGAGCCGTGTTGGTCAATGATATGACGTTAGTTTGCACACAGAACAGTGGTTTTTCTGACAATTTCGAACAAGAGAGAGCAATTTACAGTGATTTTTAAGGTGGCTTTATAGCTATGGCCAGCACTATATAATAAGGGTCGACGTCTATAGATAGAGCTGTCTCTATGCTGAGCAGTATTTTTTGCTTTTAGTTGCTTCATCAAAATCTGCTGTGCTTCCATTTGTCTAAGTGGATTCTTTATTTCCACCATTTCGCTACGCTACGATAGTCAGCTCACTAATTGCCTCCAATTAGTAAATCCGTTACCATAAACTGTCGGCAATTTTGCAATCGATATCAAGTCGTAAATCATCTCCTTTGAAGGCAGCGTACACCCAAATTTTGAGTTACCGAATTTCCTAGATCTATCTACGCCGTGTATATACTGGGCCCAGAAGAAGACCAACTGCGTTGGTCCGGTCTCCCAATGTTGCTTCTGAGCGGAGAAAACCCCCCTCAATTTTCTTTCACCCCGCCCCTTTTCTTTCGCTCCGCCTCCTCCGGACGAATCCAAAACAGCGTAAGCTGCAATTGCAGTTGCAGTTGTTGTTGCAACATCTGTTGCATTTGTTTTGGGTGTACGGTGCCTTTAAATGCAGTGGCTCGCCAAATCTCAACCTAAATTTTCGCTTACCTCGGGTTATTCACTACGCTGATCACGAAAATCCACTTTGAAGAGCTCGAAAACGGCGAAAACGAGCGCTTTTCGACCCCCTTCATGATTGGACGAGTGGAGCAAGGCTGATGGCGCTGAATCGTTGCAGGACCCAATGATTAAAGCATTGCGGCGGGCAGCCTCCAATGGTGAGAAGGAAGTTGCGAACTCGTCCTGGTGCGCGTTAGATTGACTTGCGCTTGTATATCTGAGAGCAATTTTTTCGACAGGGAAGGCATGCTGTGCAACCGGGATTGCACTGCTTTCATACTTGAACGATAAGGAACCTACTGTGTTGAAATCCTGGGTTGTCAAGTTTTGCCGATCCACTGCCTTTACAACCGATGATATATGTAGATACGAGAGTCGAAAAGATTTCCTGTTGTGCATCCAACGTAGGTTTGTTTAGCTCTTCTGCCAAGATAGAAAGCTTTCTCTGATAATTTGACATACCACACTTTTTTATCTAACTTGCATCTGGAATGAGGTTTCTTTCGCCAAGACTTCTTCCTTGCTGATGTTTTTTCGTCACAGATGGTGAGGTGGATAGTTCCGCTATTTGGAGCCTACTCATATCGTGTCAGCACCTTTTCTTGCAATCTTGTAACCCTTGAACATACAAATTCTTTTCATCCTGGTGAGCCCTTCACGAGGAAGGATCCTTCAGTTCTGCTTGGAAACACCTAAATGAGTAAGAGAATTGAAGTGAGCTTTGGCTAATTTATGGCAAAAATCATAGATCAAGCTCAAAGTGCAGGGTCATTTTATTGAGCAAAAATTTTGTCATAAATTTACATTGACCATGCAGCATTCTTATGTAATTTCTGAAGGGGCTCAACGAGGAAAGAAAATCATAGGACTTCGATCAAATGCTAATTTTCTCATAATAGTGAGTTCATATACACTGCTACTCAGCACTGCAAAATCTGGTATTGATCATTATGTTACTCCAGGAAAGCTGTGTTGACTAATATGGGTATTCGGCTTTCAATGCTGTTTGAGCCTTGAAAATGACCTCAAATTGATTATTTAGCAAATCAAATCGTTTTTATTATACAGGGTGTCCCAAAAAAATGTATCGAACGTTTGATCGTTAATATCTCTCTTCTAAAAAAGTCTTTTCTCTTGCTTCAGGTACCAATATGTAGGACCGGCTTCAACTTAGATTTGCATTATAGAACGAATCACTCATTTCTCTTCATTACTGTAGGATTACGGTACAAACTTCAAAGAGGGTTTTAAGCAATGAAAGGCCATATTTTGCCTCAGAAAGGAAACAAAGCAGCCTGAAAGCTTCTACACTAAGCTAATTAGAGTTGTTGGTTCCAACTGTAAAGTTCCCAACTTATTATGACGTTTTATTGAAGAGTTATGCCAGGTAAGAGGTAGCGGCCATTTTTCCAATGTTCCTAAAAAGTGCGGTTACACTGTTTAGAAAGCTTCGCAACCTTGAGGATAGTTGAGTATTGAACTCAGCGTCCATAAAAACCCCAATACACAACTTTTCACAATTATTTGAAAATTTTTGAAACGGCAGCTTTTTCCACATTGACACCATATGTTTCAAGTTTCCACCGTAATCCTACAGTAATGAAGAGAGATGGGTGATTCGTTCTATAATACGAATCTAAGTTGAAGCCAGCTCTACAAAACGGTACCTGGAGCAAGGCAAAAGACTTCTTGGTAAGAGAGATATTGACGATCAAACGTTCGATACATTTTTTTGGGACACCCTGTATTAGATTGCCGAATAATTTCTGGTAATAATACATTTTTTGAAAAATCCTGGAAATTTTCGGAAATCTAAAATTCAAATCTTCTCCATAAGTCGGACGCGGAAGAGTTTGACTACAGCATGACTGATGCCGCAATGCACAAATGATCATCAAGTCTACGACAACTTTGTAAGCTCACTTAAAATTGTCATCGGTTTTTCCTCCGTGCCTAGTTGTGCTTTCTCTCTCCAATTTTTCTCTCCTACTAAGAGTTTGGAAAATTTGAGGGTTTTAAAAGTTGTTCTTAAAGGCAGTGTCTCACTAAAATTTAGTTGCCGAGATTTTTGCAATTTGCAAGCCTGTCGGACCCTGTCTAGCACTATATGGACTTAAAATCGCACAAAATTCCCAAAAACCCCGTTTTATGGAGGCCCCGCGCAAGCAACGTGGACGAGTTATACCTTCCAACTTCAGGCTCAGCCAAGTGGCAGCAGCAGAGGGGAGGTGGATGCCAAGTGAAGGGACATGTTCAAACGCGTAAGGGGAAGACCGAAGGAGTCGTCCGCGCGTACCAACTGGCTCTCCGCGCACCAATTTGAGCGAATTTTTCTCGGCCTGGAGGGGGTCAAATTGATTGAGACTTGTTGCAATTTCCCATTTAGAGGTCCCTATAATAGAATATGTGAAGATCCGCGCGACCTCAACTTTGGTGAGACACTGCTTTTAATCGAAATCGAGTGTGCGTCAAAATGGCGCGCCATGTAGCATATGTGAAAGTGCGCGGACGCGATTGTGCTATCTCTCTACACTTTTCAAAAACCAGGAACATACCTCGACTGACTACTACGTCGCGCTGTCTTTCCCTAATTACCTGGAAAAATGCCAGCCCGTTGACAAAAGTGTCCGCAAATCTAATCACCGATGAAGTGGTGTTTGCGCACATGACTTTGACCTGACCGGGTGCGTAGGCCTTTGCTCCTCCTTTTTCAAGTTCCATAGATTTTTAAGGAATAGAAATTGAAGTGTAAGAGAAATTATTTGCCAACCTAATTTATACCTTTGTCAAAGTGTGCAATTAGCAATAATTCAAATGAACCTTTGTTATCTTAACTATTTGTTTCATAAGTAGTAAGCGATATAAGACGAGTTAAAAAACAAAATCCTTAACAACTCATTACCATTAGCTCTGTTTCCCAAACTATATCTTTTTTTATAATTGACGTCATATTGGTGTAATGACAGCATTTTATCTCATACATTAATGTTTATGCTTTTTGAATAAGCTAAGCAACTTTCACCGCATGGACTACACACCCACATAGTTTTTCTCAGTTTCAGTGCTTCTTAGTCAATGTCACTGTCCATCCATGTTTGCTCGCCCAGTACAGGCAATTTTTTTCGCAGTCCTCTTTTCTTTCGTAAATAATCTCAGGAGAAATTGCAATCCTCAGGTTCAAGCGGTGAAACTGCGTGAATTTTTCGCAGCGTGGTGGGTGTGCTGTTATTGTTTCACATCTCCACAAAACTCTGGAAAAAGCCTTTTTTACTTTGGAGTAATGTCTTACAGATTTACTTGTTACCTTAGTTCTGCCGCACAAATTACGAAAATACTCAGTATCAGGAAAAGTTTCATCGTTCTTTTCGGCAGAATATGTAGACCTGTAATAGAACACTTTTCGATGTAGCTAACAATAAGAGAAATCAAGCGGGTGAGAGGAAGGATAATTCCTCGGCGGTCATAACTTTTTTGTATGGATTGGCTTACATGTAAAAATAAGTTGACCATAAAAAAGTGAATCAGCTTTTATTGCTTTATTTCCTTAATTATTTCAAGCCAACTCATTTTTCATAGAAAGTGTTCAGCGAGAATTTTAACACGTTGACGACCGCGCCATTTTGGGCGAAACTCCCACTAACGTCCTTCGCGCATTTGGCCCGTGCATACGCGCGGATGCACGAAAACACTATGTGGGAGTCTTTTTGTCACTTATTAATAAAACATGCGAACTTTGTTCAGACATACAGGTATATCACAGAGGCTTACCAGGACTTACACAAACTAAGGTTTTTGCATCGATTTTCCCTCCAATAATCCATGCAATGGCTATATCTGAGGATTCGCTCTTCGAGAAAAGCGTTTTAAAACCAGATGTTTTTTGTCTGATTCTTCTTTGTTTGGTTTCAAAACAGCTATACAGAGTTTTCACCTTCTCGAGAAAACGTAATTAGCATGTACTGACTACATCAAAAACGTACTGATTACCCAATTTTGCGGCCAAAACTTCTGAACAGCTGCCGCGATGCCCTGTGTTCTGTAAGACAATCAGGTCACTAATAGTATTACTGCATAGAAGTTACCTTAAAACTTTTCGTTTGCACCTAAAAAACTAGCGTGCATATGCGCGGATGCACGAAAATGCTAAACGGGAGTCAGGGCGTGCATACGTGCGGATACACAAGGTCGTCAACGTGTTAAATCGTATCGATTTACTACTTCGAGAAATCGAAAGAAATGATGAGAAATGTATCAGAAAAGGCAATACTTAAAGTCAAACAAGCATCATTTTCAAGCTTAGGAAGAGCTAATCATCATTGAATTACACAAGGCTTCTCACAGATTTATTGCAGGAAAGGATGGCGGAATTTATGCTTTTACATGTTTTCGCTAGCCTCAATGTAAATAGCGAAGGCTACATTATGTCATGCCCTTAAAATTATAGACTAAGGCATCCTCCATAACTCAAGGAAGTTTTATGAATATACTGTTAACCAGCTAAATGATTATTGCGTCTCAATGCTGTTTTCTATTTTCTAAAAAATGGGAGTTAAAAGTATAGAAATGTTCTACCCGAATTAGGGGATAATGCAAGCTTGTTTTCTATAGTAATTTTATTCAACGATTTTCAAAGAAGTCTAGATTAGTCTTATTTAGGAATGCCTTTGATTTTTTGAAATTGGAGGCTTTACCGCTGATTTTGGCAATACACTTTTTGATAGCTCATCCTCCTGCTCCAAACAAGTTTTCTTGTGACGCTACCGATAAATTGTATTCACTTTCAATTATTTCCAGTTAGCTGATTGAAGGGTTCCATGACAGCAGAGATATAAGTTACCATCTGTTGGATGAGACTATGCAATTCTCGAGGGGAAAAATGTTGAAAAACGAGAATGGAGTGGCGCAATTTTGCCGTCTTCATTTGTCTAAACTAGCGGCCGATAGTAAATCTAGCCCTTGCCACAGATCACTCCCACTGCTTGTTGATTGGACAATTGAGCTATTATTTGCATTGTTGCATGACGATAAAACTAGATTTAGTAGAAAATTGTAGTATTTAACAGTTACATTACAGCATGTTATCCGTACTCGAAATTTACCAAAATTTTCTTAGTTTTTGATTCGTCAGCATTCATGATCGACATCAGGTTCCCAAAGCCGTTTTCCATTCTCTTTCATTGATTATCTTCAAAGTGCATTAAACGGCCTCTTAACATTATTTTTTCTTCATTCTGAGAGAATCATCGGATTTATTTCTATACGTTTAGATAACTCAAATCGGGGATAGCCTTTTTTTTTCGGGCTAGAAAACCTAAAACTCAAAATTATTTCGTTTTCCTTAGAAGCCGTTTTCCATTCTCTTTCAATTGATTCTTCAAATTGCATTAAACGGCCTCTTAGAAAATTGCCAAACACAGCGACTCATGGTTTTACCGAACTTTGATTTCGTTATTCTTCAGTACTGCTGTGCCAGACAGGTTTGGTAGGTGTTCTTTATTCCAATCAAAGCCTAACCTTTCGTCTTCCTCAGAGGCCTGAAGGCCTTGATTGGAATAAAGAGCACCTACCAAACCTGTCTGGCACAGCAGTACTGAAGAATAACGAAATCAAAGTTCGGTAAAACCATGAGTCGCTGTGTTTGGCAATTTTCTAAGAGGCCGTTTAATGCAATTTGAAGATAATCAATTGAAAGAGAATGGAAAACGGCGTCTAAGGAAAACGAAATAATTTTGAGTTTCAGGTTTTCTAGCCCGAAAAAAAGGCTATCCGCGACTTGAGTTATCTAAACGTATAGAAATAAATCCGATGATTCTCTCAGAATGAAGAAAAAATAATGTGTGCTTTGGGAACCTGATGTCGATCATGAATGCTGACGAATCAAAAACTAGCGATGCCGAAGTTTAAGGAAAGTGGAACTTTTGAACGATTTCGTTGTTTTTATAAATTTTTGTACTGATCTCCAGAACTCAAAAGCGGATAATTATGTCAATGCCTAAAGGATACAAAACAATTTTGTTCTTTTTCTCATGCATGAATTTTTTGACAGAATTTCAAAAACCCATCCAACTTTTAGCGGAACGCCTATATCAAACGCAGACTTGTCAGATAACAAATGTTTTCGACTTTTGTTACCCTTAAAAATGGATCATAATTCAGCACTAGCTTTAAAAACAAGTGAGAGTTTGAGAACTCGAAATATAAAACCTTGTGTCAACCTAATACGGCATGCCTGTAAAGTGATTTTTGCGACCTTTAACCCCAAGACTTCAAGAATCAGGAACAAAAGACGTCCCCTACAAGAGGAGAAAAAATTGCATTGTATAACACATGATTTGCTTGCCAATTGGAGTTCTTGAAATAAGTTGACCGTATGTCGAATTTTATAGCTTTTAAAAATGATTTCAAAAATTTTGGAAAGCAGGATATGAAGAAAGAAATTGCTTTGTATCTTAAAAAGTATGCTTTATTTTTCCGTTGCTTGGACTCCTTCGGGGAGCCAGCCAGCCATAATAATAATGGTTTGAGAGAGCATGAAAAACTACATCGAATAGTAACAAGATCTTCCGAAAACCTTTGCTCCCTAGTGGCGCTTGCTTAGAAAGCGAAAATACTTTCAAGACAAAATATTATAAAAATTGCGCTTCCAAAATATCTGAAAATTGTGTTTTAGAAGATTCCACTTTGCTTTGTTTGCTCAATGCTTTGTTGTAAAATCTTTGAATTTTTGAATTTCATATTAGGTTGGTACATAAGACTTGTGCTATAAATTTGGAAAATTCATAGTTTTTGCAAGCATAAAAAGAACTTCACTTTGAATTATGCACTCAAAAATCGGTTTTTGAAATCAACTCGCTAGAATTTCCGAAATTTTTCAAACTTCCATTTTGATTTCGCTTTGATATTATATGCTTTTTCTACCCGAAAGAAGTCCTTGCTGCGACGTTTTTACGATTTATTTACGTTTTTTTTCATTTATGGTTCTTTTCCGTATCGCGCGGAGGCACATAAATGACGACGCAATCGTATTCATGTTATCGGAAAGGACTCATATAGATGGCCGCATTGGAATAACGGGAGAGTTGTAGTCGGAACTGGATACTCGTCTTCGAATGATTCATTCAGAATATTCGAGTATTCGAAAATTCAAATAGTCGACTGTCCGAAAAAATCCAATTAGTTGATCATTCGAATACTCGAATAAATGAAAAGGGCCTTCATTCGAAGACGTTTATTCGACGGATCGGAAAAATGACTTATTTGAATATTTGAACATTCGAGGAATTTTGAGAGACCGTTATTTGTATATTCAAATATTCGAGAAGTTTTGGAATACAGCTGGTCGATTATTCCAATGTTCGAATATTGCATGCGAACATTCGAAAATTGCATTTATTCGATGTTGCTTGGTTATTAGTTTATTTGAATAGTCGAATAGTGGACCAAGTTAGATTATTCAAATGTTCGAAAATCCGAATTTTGAACCCATATTCGAAATTCGAATTTGAAATATAAAATGACAAACAATATTCGTTTATTCGAAAGTGTTCTAAAATTGATTAATCAATGTTCTTTCGTTTAAAGATTTTTAAGAGATCAATTATTTCGATATTCGTTCATTCGATGAGAATTTGTCTGCTACAACTATGTAACCAGTAGCCATGCCTTCCCTCGCGTTAACCCGAATTCTGCGCGAAAGAGTAAAAGCTTATCATACAGGTGTCACCTACGTAAATTTAAAGCTTACAAGGGAATGGTCAGAAATCGAAGTGGCCAATTCAAGCAAGCTGCATACCATTCGATGCAGCATAGAATGCTGATTTCAGATCTGTCTTCCTTATCTGCAGAGCGCTTTTGTAGGCGAAGTTATAAGCCGTTGAATGTCATCATTTTGCTAAGAAATTGTGCGTGTAAAGGTCAAACTTGGCCATACAAAGCCATTCTCGGTTCAGTGTTGGACCAAAACGTGTAACTAGGTCAGTTCATATGGCTCGTACCTAAAGGTGAGCTAAAAGAGCAGTGATCTGCCTAATTTCGCAGTTTTTGTGGACGGCTCATAACTTCGCCCACAAAGGCGCTCTGCAGATACGGAAGACACATTTGAAATCAGCATTCTATGCTGCATCGAATGGAATGCAGCTTGTATGGATTGGCCACTTCGATTAGACTGTATGTCTCCTTTTTGTAATTTTTAATTTCATTTCGGCAAAAATTAATTTCGACATTCAGCCGAAACGTCGGGCAGTAAATAAAGTGTTCCTTTAAAAACCTGTTATGGCTTAAAGAAAATTGAACAATGGCCACTTCGACTTCTGACCATTCCCTTGTTAGTTACCCTTTGATTCAACGGAAGGCAAGGCTTTAAGGTTTAATCAGGGCTAATCAGTAA